TAACAGAGGGTCCGTTCACATTGCTCCAAAGTTTTCTAAGTGACCCATTTATTTGACACTTCAATGGGACATACTAGAAATAATTCACTCAGGACCTCAATCCAAGGTGGTTCCCACATTACCCACTCCTTATTTGGGCAAAAAGTCTCTTTCTATGGCAGTGAGTATAGGTGGGAAACTTATACTATCTCTTTGTATCACTTCATTTGTCCAGAGTGATAACCACTATTCCAGGAACACAATTCGTAAGTGATCTACGAGCGGTACCTTCCAGGAGATGGTATCAGTTGGCATGGAAAAATGCGGAAGTGCACCTCCAAGGTCCTCTCTCTTCGCAGAGAGGAAAACCTCTCGGATTTAGTAAATTTTACAAAATTCTGCTGTTAAAAAACAAATGATGGAAAATATTTAAAGGTCCACAACCATGATAACTAACAGAATCGCTCAGAAGGTGCTTGTTTTTGTTTTGTCTTTTCCCTGCATGAACAAAATATAAGCCCAATGATTTAATAATTTGTTTAGCCATTTCCTTTTTGTGTGTGTTTTGTTTTGTATAGAGTGTGCTGGTTTTATTGTACTGTGTGTCATATATAAAGCATGAAACAATTCCTTAATAAAGAAACATGCTTCAGAAGTCAAAAAAAAAAAAAGAGAGACTGGCTTAAGACACTATCTAATCTTGTAGACCTCATCAGTATAACCTCATCATAGTGATAGACTTTATAACACATGAGGAGATCACATATAATGTCATCATAGTGATAGAGTTTACAACACATAAGGAAATCACATCAGATTACACAGTCCTACAATACGGGGAATCATGACCCAGCCAAGTTGACAGATATTTTGGGGGGACACAATTCAATCCATGACATCCCCCAATGCCAAGGTTCTTGGAACTCAGACAAGCTGGAGTTCTGTTCTGGACTAATTACTTAACTCAAGGTATGGGGTGTCTTGTTTTTATTTGTTTTTCTCCTCTTTAAAAGAGACCCACAGCAGGAACTGAGAAATCAAGTTTTCTAGCGTCATGATTAAAAATTAGTAGTGGAAGCCTAGTGTTACGGATTGAATTGTGCCTCCCCTACCAAAAAAAAAAAATATATATATATATATACATATTTATATATGTTGAATTCCTGGCCCTCATACCTGCAGATATGATCCTGTTTGGAAACAGTGGTTTTCTCTTTGCTTATGACAATGAGGTCATACCAGTGTAAAGTGGGTCCTAAACCTTATTACTTCTGAATTATAAAAAGATCAGAAAAGACACAGAGATGCATACAGGGGAAGGCGGACAATACGTGAGGATCGTCTACCCTCCAAGGAACACCAAGGAACCAAGAAATGCCCAGGGCTACCAGTAAGGGTCGCTATGAGTTGGAATCCACTCAACAGCACCTTTGTTTTTGTTTTTTTACCAGCAAGGAAGGAATCAACAGGGCCAACACCGTCATTTGAACTTTTAGCCTCCAGAACTGTGAAAAAATAAATTTCTGTCCTTTAAAGCCACCCACTTGTAGCATCTGTATTACAGCAGCACTAAGTAACTACGGTCCCTAGAATTCCCAGATTTTCCCGGCAGCCACCCAACCCATAACAAAAGCAAACCCACAAATGTGTAACTGGTTTTCATTCTGGTTTTAACTCTCTCTTTTCTGGGTGTTTTTTAAGAGGCTGGACATATTCAGTGAAATATTTAAAAATAACTAAAGGACTTCAAGGGACTGGTTCCTACCTTCAAGATAAATACAATACAACCTATCTCCCAGGGTAGGGATTTGAAACCCATTTTTTGGATAAGGTAACAGAGGGAGCAGAGACTTGCCCACAGCACAAAGCGATCAAACAGCAAAGCCAGAATTCAACACAGGTCTGTCTGGCCCCAATCCACCACTTAATAATAATACTTAACCCAAGTGAGGCACTATGGGCCAGGTACTTTGCTAAATGTTTACACGAATTTTCTCATTTATCTTCACAACATCTGTTAAAAAAAAAAACCACATGGGGGCAGAGTCTGACCTCCTCTAACGTCACAAGGGGGAAGGAGAATCAAGATCAATAGCCCAAGGCTGATTCCTATGAGGCGGAAGTCCGACATGCCTTCTCTCTCCACCATCTTTACAAATTGACATCAACGTCCCTCCCACGGCACTCTCTACTTCTCTGCTGGGTTTGATAATTCATTGCAATGGCCACGCAGAACTCACAGACAATACTCACGATTATGGGTTTATTAGGGAAGTAACAGGTTACAATTCAGGTTCAGGAATGACTCAGGATGCAGTCCTTCGATCTGGACAGCTCTTCTCAGCCGCGCTCACAGGCAGGCCTCTCCCTGGCCCTCAGCCTCTGCCCTGCTTGGGCAAGTGTTACAAAGCTCTTTTAGCTCTGCCAATAAGTGCCCAAAGGCACCCCACTCCGCCAGGAAGCCTCAGCCCAAAGGCACTCAACTTTCTCATTCCACACAGTCTCCTGCTGGTCTCTGCTGTCACTGTTTCTCTGTCATTGCTTCTTGCAGTCTTCAGTGTTACAGCTTGAGCTGTCTGTCTGTCTGTCTCTCTCTCTCTCGGTCTCCTGGTTCCAGGAGCTTCTCAGGGCAGGGATCCCAGGTCCAAAGGACATGCTCTGCTCTTGGCTGTTCTTCCCTGGTGGTGGTGGGATCCTCCCTTTCCGACCTCTGGGATGGCTCGTTTGAAGCCCCTCGGGATGACAAAACTGACCCATCCCCTTGGTGGGCCACAATTACCCTATTTGTACAGTCCCACCCAATCACTTGAGTGGAAGTTACAAGGCGACGTGAGAAAGACCACACAAAAGCAACCCATCACACCACAACATCCCTGTGTAGGTATTACTATCAGATCCAGTTCACAGATGAGAAAACTGAGGTTTGGAGAGGTTAGGTGACTTGTCCAAGACCCCATAGCTAATTGTGGTGGAGATAATATAATTCACTTCCAAGTCTGTCTGAAACTGCAAAGCCCACGTCTTACCCACTGTGTCCTGTAGCCTTCTGTCTCCTCAACCTCGTCTCATCTCATCCTCCCCCTTGCTTGTCCTGCTCCAGACACACTGGTTGTTTTTAATTCCCTTATCAGCCTAAGCTCTCCCTTCCACCTGGAAAGCTTCCTCCCACCTCTCCTTTATTTGCAAACCCTAGTTCCTCTTCTTCCTCTGCATTTCCGTTTAAATGCCCCCTCCTCCGTGCAGCCTTCCCTGACTTTCTACCCAGAGCATGTCCTCTTCGATTCTTCTCTCAGCTGTGGCACTCATTTCAACTTACTGATTTTTTTGTTTGTTTGCTTTATTTTCCCCCTTATCTGTAGTTTGTCTTTTCCACGAGAATGTGAGGCCCATAAGGGCAGAAATTTGACTGTTTTGGTCATTGCTCTATGACTCATACCCAGAAAGTGCAGGAATTAGTAAGTCCTCAGTAAATACTTGATAAATTACAATCGTAGAATTTGAAGCTCACCTACAGAATAAAGCAGATGGTTTCCAACCCCAAGCTAAGTGCTCTCCTGTGCTTTAAAAAAAAAAAAAAAAAAAGGCTACAGTCCTTCAGCTTCTGCTGCTCCAAGAGATAAGTTAGCACAGCAAGAGGGACCTCGGTTGAGTCTTTCTCCCTGTCCCCTAGAGGGGACTCTGCTCCAAAATGTTCACCCAAAAATCACACACCACGGACTTGGACCGCTGAACAGCCTGCCTTCAATTCCCTAATGAATTAAGCTGAGTGAAGGACGCACAGAGGAGGTGGGTCTGCTTATCCCAAACCAGTTCCCTGCTGGCACCGCACTAGACGCCTTCATGATCATTGGCTTGTCCAGTCTTTTCCGTTGCCCCAGGAGATGGCTGTCTATCCCCACCCTACCCACAGGAGACCGGGGTTCACGGTGGTTAAATGACTGTCCCAGGGCCATGTAGCTGGTAAGCAGGAGAGTCTCTCACTTCTTGCCTAACATTCCCCAGTGGCTCCTTCTTACCTTCAGAAAAAAGCTCCAATACTCAGCAGAGCATCTCAGGTGCCCCAGCACAGGTACCCCCTCAGGACTCACTTCCTTCTAAGGCCCAAAGGGACTCTGCACTATCCCCATGCAGAACTGGGGAAAGTCCTGGGACAGACACGCTTCCCCACAATTCCATGGTGTATGCTTCCCCGTCTGCCTCCACAAACTGTGGCTAATTCCTCCTTGTCCTTTAAGATCCACAGAAACCAAAAGACTTGATAACCCCTAACAAAAATCTATCCTAAGACAATAAACACATGCGAAAAGATATCTGCTCAAAAATAGTTATTTTATATACAATTATTCATGAAAGTAAAAAATTAGAAACAACCTAAATGTTCAGAAATATGGAAAACATTTAACAATTATACTATCTCCCTATTTAGGTATACCAGTACAGCCACATTTGGGGTATTTTTTGTTTGTTTTGTTTTTTGGATTTTCAGCAAAAAGTCTCGACCAAATCACTATAAATCAGTGGTTCTAACCTGACACGCCATGGCTGACTGCTGTGATTCCTTAATCCAAACCAAAAGCCAAACCTGTTGCCATTGAGTAGACTCTGACTCACAGCAAAACCGCATGTATTACATAGCAGAACTCCTCCACAAGATTTTCTTTGCTGAAATCTTCAAGGAAGCAGATCACCCCACCTTTCTTCCACAGTACCATACTTGAGATGAGCAGTGGACCTGAATCCTTAATAGGACATTTTCCTTGATGGATGAAGTTTACTTTTGCTACAACTATGATTCACACTGTTAATGTTGAGCCAGGCTGCACATCATTTCTGTGTGGTACAGGGTACGACTTGATACATATAAAGAAACAAAGAAACTGTACGCGTTCACTAGGACCTGCAAGAAGTTTGCCTCCTGAGTATCCGAGAGTGATCAGAGCAGTAACTGTTCTACTCAAACAGTGATCAGTACAACAGTGTAGCTAACATACATGCAACCTAATTCTTTCCGATGTGCAGGCAAAAATACTAGTACTCATCAGAATCCCACGGTACTTGATAGGGTTATGCTGAAACAAACCTCCAAATTTCAGGTTTCGTTTTCACCCATATAACTATTCCAATGGTGGTGTTCCTGATCAACAGGTGGTTTTCCTCCACACGGTGATCCAGGGACCCAGGCTCCTTCCAGCTGTGGCTCTTCTGCCCCTACAGCCTCCTGGCAACTGGAGAGAAAGAATGCAGAAACGTCCCACTGCTGCCTTTGTCCGCACGTGACACACATCACTTCCTGTTCTGTACTTGGCCTGCAAGTGACACACCACACCGAGCCATTCTGGTCATAGGGTCCCACCTAGCGCAAGAGGTGCTGGGAACATAATCCCTGGCTGAGCAGCCACTTCCCAGAGACAATGTTACACTATAGAAGGAGGGGAAACCCTGGCGGTGCAGAGGTTAAGAGATACGGCTGCTAACCAAAAGATGGGCAGTTCAAATCCACCACCAGGTGCTCCTTGGAAACTCTATGGGGCAGTTCTACTCTGTCCTTACACGGTCGCTATGAGGCAGTTTTTTGGTTTTATAAAAGGAGGAACACACATTTCTGTTAGATGGCCTGCCCTCTCTGCTGCAGCCACCAGCCCCCAGAAAGGTTGAGAACCACCAGAGAGTGGGGTTTTGTGGTTATGCCATATGAAGAAGTAGGAAAGTACCCAGTGAAACAATCCCTCTTGCTCCCAGCATTTCATGCACTGGAACCCCATCGGCCTGGCCCTCTTCCTTCCAGACAGCACGCTGGCTTGAGCCTCTGTTCCCATTTCCTCTGATGGCCATTCACTCTGCAGCTCTCCGCAGCTCATCCCTTCACCCCCTGCAACAGCACCATCCTTCCTGGCAGCTCTGGCTAGGCGCTGGTCTCTGACCTCACTGCATGCATGCAGTTTTACAAGGCACAAGTACTTTCTGACAAAGACGTGCCTGGGACCTCCTCTCCTAGAAAAGGATTACAGGCACGGCAGACTTAGAGCTGTATGGACCAACGGGAACATGAAATTAACAAGCCACAGGAGGGCAGGGATAGCATCCAGCACGCTGACCATTTTCCCCACTGTACCTTCAGTACTTAGCACAGTGTTTCAGACACCCAAGTTCCTGCCCTCTTGGGAAGCTGGACCCACGAGGGCCTCCAAGTCCTCACAGTCCCGCTGGCAGGCTGGAAAGAGAGAGGACAGAAGGCACAGCGTAGGTAAAAAGTAACTTGCTGAATGAAAAAACATACAGGAATGAGCGAATGTACAATCACACTCTTAATAAATATTTAATGACATAGAAAACAGTAAAGATAAAGTATGACATGATAAAAGTAGAATAATTTTATAATCGGTGTAATCATAAATATGGAAATATATGTATATATGCGTAAGACTTGAAGGCAATACATAAAGATATTGATCTTTGGTTCATGGGTTTACAAATTATTTTATTTTTTATATATTGCTATATTTTCCAGATCTTCTATAATAAGAATGTAATCTTTTTATAATCAGATTTAGAAATCACAGTGTTATTGCTTCCAGGTAGCTCAAACAACTACATTGTTGTTAGTTGCTGTTGGGTAAATTCTGACTCATGGTGACCCCGTGTGCGCACAGGAGAACTGTGCTCCATGGGGTTTTCAAGGCCGTGATCGTTCGGGAGCAGATCACCAGGCCTTTCTTCCAAGGCCCCTTTGGGTGGGTTTGAACTGCCAACCTTTTGGGTAGTAGCTGAGCTCTTACCCATTTGCACCACCTACGCACTCCTGTGTTATTGTGACTTTTAACGCATCTGTCAAATGTTGCCTTCTCCAAAAATCATCCTGCGACTATGTCAGGGTGACTTGGAGGCCCTCCCTTAATGTTCCCACAGTGTCCGGAATACATTCCTCTGCCATTCACTAATCGCACTAGATTTCAATTGTTTGCTTATCTCTCTCCCAATAAGACTTGGAGCTCCCCCGACACCCTTTTAGCTCAGTACTGAAGTCACTCCTAACGTTCACCCTTCAGCCAAAGATCAGACAGCCCCAAAAAACAAAAGGAGACTAATGGGGCACAACAGTCCAGGGACGAGGACTAGAAGGCAGGAGGGGACAGGAAAGCTGGTGATAGGGAACCCAAGGTTGAGAAGGGAGAGTGTTGACATGTCGTGGGGTTGGTAACCTTTGTCATAAAACAATATGTGTACTGTTTACTGAGAAACTACTTCTTCTGTAAACCTTCATCTAAAGTACAATTAAAACAAGAAAAGAGAGAGAGAGACTTGGAGCTCTTTGAGGAAAGGAACTGGTTCTTTAATCTCTGAATCCCCAGGGCCTAGCACATGCAGTATGCATTCCGAAAGGTTTATAGACCAAATGAAGAAATTAAACGAGTAAACTGTGGCTGTGCGCCGTTCGGTAGATTCCAACTCCTAGTGACCTAATGTGACAAAGTAGAACAGGACTGCCCCATAGGGTTTCCTAGGCTGTAGTCTTTACAGGAGCAGATCGCCAGGTCTTTTCTCCGCGGAGTTGCTGGTGGGTTCGAAACGCCAACCTTTCGGTTAGCATCAGAGAGCTTAACCACTCCACCACCAGGGCCCCTAAATGAGTAAGCAGGGGTATACCAGCTCAAGTTCTCTCATTCTGAATCCAGTTGTGTCTTTCCTGGGACAAAAGGGACCCAGGATCCTCTCCACTGGTGACTGTAACCTGAGGCCTGGGATGAACTTGGGAAGTACACGGGAAGATTCTGAAGAACTGTCCCCTGGAATAGTCAGCACCAGAGGAAGCAAGAGCTGAATTCCAAGTTGGATTTTCCTGGCAATAGTAAAACTTAAGTCACGTGGTGGTACTTGGAGGATTCCCTGAGTCTGCTCATTCCTTTGGGATCACTCACTCCTTCAGGATCTCCCTGGGAACGAAGTGTGAAGGAAAACCCCAGGGTTTGGGACTCAATCTTTCCTCCAATAGTTGATAGTTTGCATTAAACCCTAAACCACAATTAAAATTAATGTCTAAGGAGCGACAGCGGGTGGGAGGTAGAATCTGATAACAAACACTTAGGTCTTCTCTAAATTTCTACAAGAAATTTCTAAAGACTTTGAGGGTCGAGCACGCAGGCCAACTACAGAACAAAAAAGAGGTTTTGAAACTCAGGTTTTAACAATATCAGCCCAACCGAAGCTGAGCTATTGACCAAGTGAAGCCACATAAACCGTGAGGGGTAAATCCCTTGTTCAACAAAGGGTTTAAACGACCCCTACAGCTGACAAGCCAAACACCAACCTCCCTCCAGCACCACCGCGGGTCACGCGCGGGCAGAGAGGGCTGCTTCTCCAGGAAAGGCCCGCGGACCGGGGCCCCGGGCCGCGGAGACCCAGGACCGGCATCCCAGGACCTAATCTTACAACAAGTAAGTCTGCACTGAACGGCTTCTAGGTGGTTAGGATCCCACGTGCCCCTCCCTGCAGTGTCACCCAGAAAAAATAGTTTCTAGACCTGTAGGTTACCGGAGAAGCGCCGCGTACCGCTGCGCTGGGTCTGGGCCCGCGCGCCCCACCCGCAGAACGGCTGGATTCTTTGATTTCCACCCGCACCCACTTTCTAAAACCAAACCCGAGAGGAAGGGCGCGGCCGAGGGTGGGGATGGCCTGAACATTCCTACTTGAAGAGCCCTTTGCAGTAATACATGCTCACTTGGGACAGGAATGACAACAGTGAACCCCTTCTGAAAACCGAGAGCAGGGTGTGTGGGAGGCGCCCGGGGGGCGGGGGTGTGAACGGGGGGTGCAGGAAGAGGGAGGAGACAAGGGGTGCGGTGAGCGACGGCTGCAGCACCAGCCCCAGGCTCCTCCTGCTCCCCGCGCGCGGACTCGCGCCTCCGCCCTCTCCCCACCCGCCCCACGTACTAAGGCGCGGTGCCTGAGGCGCTCGTCTCACTGCCCTGCTTCCCCGCTCGCTGAGCGTCCGCGCCACGCCTCCCGGCCAAGGTGAGTGCCGCCGCGCCCGGCCCCGCGGCCAGGCGGCCGGCCCTCCTGCTGCCCGCAGCCCCGGCGCCTGCCTGGGGACAGCCCCCTGCCCCTGCCGCGCTGCCCCACCGGAGCCGGCTTGGCGGAGCCCGGGGCACCGCGCGCCTTGGCGGTGAGCCGCTGCTGGAGAACCGCTGCTCGGCGCTCCGGGCCACACCCAGGCGAGGCGCTGCGGCCGCCCCCAGACCTTCGCAGCTGCTGTGGGGTGCGCTCTGCTTACTACGGGACCTTGGTGTTGGTGCCCCTGGGCCTTTGCTCTCTCCTCCTTCTATTCTTTCTTTACGCCCACCTTTCCTACTTTTCGTCTCGTCTCCCGAGTTACCCGAACCCCGCTTCTGGCCCCCTGTCCCGGCCGGCCTGTGCGTTTCGTTGTGGGCTCCGGCCGCAGGCTGACCTCCGTCCCAGCGTTCGTAGCCCGCTCCGGCTAGGCGGCCCGAGCAGGCTTGGGAAGGGCTGGGGCGGGCTGGCAGCTTGCGGGGTCCCTTCCTAAAGGATACACCAGCCCCTGGCCAAGACAGATGCTTCAGGTTGCGCTTCCTGTTGTCTGCCAGACGGGGAGATTCTCACTGCTGCGGGAGGGGTGTCTACTTGTTTTCTTTATAAAGCAGGTTTTCTGTGGCTATTTGTTGTTGGGGGGGAGACTATGTGAAGTGATTCTCGACTGAATTCAGTTTTCCTGTCATCTTAATAAGTGGCACTGGAAAGAGGTGGGGGAAGAGGAGTTTTGACGAAAGGTCTCCTACCCCCAGCGCAGTGGGACGGAGACAGAGGCCTCAGGCCCTTGGTACCTCCTTCACAGCTTGACCTTGGCCAAAGAAATGGAGCTGCTTACCGCCCTGGAGACTGCATTGCCCAGCCTCCGTCTCCATCCACCTAACTGAAACCTGGGGCTTGCTGTCATGTTGAGTGGGGGTGGTGAGGAAAGCGAAGCCCCAGCCAACTCTGGACTACATTAAACCCCCCACCCTTCCCTCCCACGGGGAGCTGGAAGCATTCTGCAGGGCGGGGTTACCACCCAGGACTCCAGGATTCTCCTGGTGGCGGAGGGGCCTGTGACTCAGCTGTGAGACCATGTGGGTGTGGCCCTGCTGGTTCCAGATTCTCTGCAGATGGTTTGGACAGAACACTCCCTGAAGGAAAGAGGAACTGTGCCATCTTAGAGGACACTTCCTAGAGGAAGTGAGTCACACCAGGACTGACCAGCCAGCTGAAGGAGGGTGTCTTGACTGAACTGTACATGAGAGCGGTAATTAGATTGGCAGGGCATGGCAAGACTGCTGGCTAGGCTCTGGGCCTGCAGGCCACCTGGCAGCCCGCCTCAGCTTCACCTGGGAGGTAGCTTTTTTGTGAAGGGGTTTGCAGTGGCTGCAGATTTTTTGCCCCCTGCAGCTTGAGTTTAAACCTCCAAGAGTGGATTTTTATATCTTGCGCTTAGAGGCGAGGCCAGCCCCATGGAAATACCCTGTCAGTGATCTTTGCCTCTAACGTGGTTTCAGCAAATTGCAAAAGATAATGCCAAAAAAAAAAAAAAGAGAGAGAGAGAGAGAGAGAATGCCAGAGGTTGGGGCAGGAATGAGTTCATGCAACTTATTAGAAATGTCTTCATCAGCCCTGCCCCCACAGCTGCCTATCTGGTTTCTGTTTAATCATCCCCTTCTCCTTGACAGCCAGAGGCTAGTTCTTCATTATGGCCCTTGATCCACCATTTGAAGCATCTTATTTCAGTGTTTGGCATTTTCTTGAGAGTCTCCTGGGTATAATTGATGTCTAGGTCATGCTCACCCCTGGTTTTCCTGGATCCAGCAGCCCTTTTCCTCCCATGTCTGGCCTCTGGCCAGCCTCTCGGGCAGCGGCCACGGTGAGGTCAGGCCTTGGCTGGGTGGAGCTGAGACTGGAGGCCTCTGCTTTCCACTGACAGATCCAAAACTGTGGCTTTTTTAGAGCACTGCCCACTTGGTATGCCCTGGGACACAGTCCAGTCTTTTCACACGTAAAGATGAGGGAAACAATGGAACTCTTTCAGAGTTATAATGTCTAATTAGCATTCAGAGCACTGGGAACACTGGATTGAAATTTTCAGATCTTTAAGCTTCTCATTTTCCCAGGGAGATAATTTAGGAATCTCCCATCCAAAGCCAGAACAATGAATTGACTTATTTATAGCAATTTTCAGGCTTCCTGTCCCTTCACTAAATAGCTGCCACCTACCCCCACTTGTCACAATGGCTATTGTAGGCTGATTCAGGCGGATGCCTGATAACTCTTCAGGGAAAAATGGATGTACTTGGTTGGGGCCAAGGAGGCTTCAAGTTCTTTCTTCCTCTTGGATCACATCTGGAATTTATGCTTTGCTGCCCACTTCGTTGGTGGGCAAGTTTTATTTGGTAAGAGGTGAGAGAGACAGCCTAGAGCCACACCTGTTGCCTCAGCCCATTATTTTTCTGAATTCCCTTTAAGGGATCAAATTCAAGAAATAGTTTCTGGTTCAGTTTTCAAAAAAGAAAAAAAAAATTTGTGCGTTCAGAATTCCCTAAGCAAAAGGAAGGAAACCTCAAATACAGTTTAAATACCAGATTTTTGTTATCACTGCCAGCTAGTTTCTGGGTGGTCTGTAAGAAAACAAGGGTCTGGATGAGACATAGAGGAGCAGAGTGAATCAGGCCTGTTGCTCTTGAGAAGTGTCCTCTTTGAAATTCTGACTGGATCTGGGCATAGGTCCAGAGCAAGCATTTGGGATTATTCAGGGCAGACACTTCTCTACCGAGGCCTCTTGCTCCTGGCTGCTTCCAGGATGGTCAGATCTTACATTGTCCATTTCACGCTTTTTCATGTTGAGGAGGCATTGTGCAGGCAGGGCAGTGGCTACTGGGATCCCGCTCAAGTAGCCCACAGGCTAATGAGGAAACAGAAATACAAATAACTAGAATTCAGGACAGACGGTTAAATAGTATGCCATGAGCTGGTGAACTCAGAGGCAAGAACCAGGGAGTGTGTGTGTGTGTATGTGTGTGTGTGTGTGTTAGTGTCTGTCCATCTGTCCCTTAGTACCTGACACCACGCCAGGACATGTAAAGTGGGTGCTCAGTGTGGAGAACCAAAAAGGGAAACTGAATTCCCACTACAGTGACTAAATTTATGGTGTCTAGAATTCTCTTCTATAGAGAAAATTACCTAGAGAGGACTGCAGCTTTCCAGACCTCGACTCTTAAGTCTCGTTGCCCTCACAAACAAATACAGGCCATATCCAAGCATCAGAGCAAAACGATTTAACAAGAGGTACGTGAACAGAGATGGTTATATCCCATGGAGCTCACCGGTGAGGTAGCAGAGCTAGAGGCGCAGAAAGTAGAAGGTGGGACGAACGAAACGTGAGAAAACACCGAGTTCGAGAGAAGTCATGGCAGGGTCTGACCAGACCTGTTTGGCAGGACTCGTTTTTTTCCCTTGCGTGTGGAATGCGCTTCTCTCTGTGCTCGACTGTTCCATTGCTAGGGGAGCCCTTTTGGGGCCCCTCTCTGGCCCTTCCAGCTCCCGCGTGGTCTCGCTCAGCTCTGAGCCCCCAGGTTTTCAGCCCAGTCCTGGGTGATCACACCGGGACTTAGCTCCTGCTGACGGGTCATTTGCTTCATTCATCCGCTTGTTTAGCCAACAGTTCTTTCGTGGTTAACAGATAAAAGCAGAATAATTGGCAGTTCTTGACCATGAGGGACGTAAGTCTAAGACAGAGAGGCTGACAGGTAGACCATGACATGTGATCAAGTGATTAGGTGCAGGGGGAAGTGGGGGGGCCAGAGAGGACGCTGCTGCCTCTAAGCCCCAGTCTCAAGGCTCTCCCATCAGTGGATCCACCCAGGAAGCAGGAGGCCCACCCTTGCCCAGGAGTGGAGAGTGTGGGGTGGCTCGGGGGATGGAAACGCCAGGCAAGTCCCAAAAGAACTGCTTCTTTAGCAACCAAAGGGCAGTGCTGCAGCCAGGCCCTGCCCCTCCAGACCACGCCCCTCCAGGCCACGCCCAGCCGCGCCGCGTCCAACCACGCCACGCCACGCTAGGCCAGGCCCCGCCCCGCCAGGCCAGGCCCCGCCCAGCCGCGCCCCGCCTGGCCCTGCCACGCCCAGTCCCGCCCGCTAGGCCACGCCCCCAGCCAGGCCACGCCCAGCCCCAGAAGGGAGGGCGGTGCCACGCTGACTCAGGGGGGAGCAGCTGCGAGCGAGAAAAAGGTCCACGGAGAAGGGTACGTGTCCTCCGAGGTGATTCAGCCACTTGCCACTAGAGGACGAAGTCGTGGTCACAGTGTTTCCCCACCTTTTCCTTAGTCTTCAACCAGTGTGCCCGCTCCTCCTTCAAAGCAGAGTTCCTTGGTAGCCCTGGTCAGTACAGTGAGGTGAGACCACTTTAAAAGCCTCATTTCACCTTCACGATCTAACATCTCCCGGACAGCCTCCGCTCTGCATTCTTATTGCAAAAGGTCTCCTGACAAATAGGACGTCAGCTGGCTGCTGTGTTCACAACCCATTTGCTGAATAAGGCTGCCGGGGGTGGGGGGAGGGACCCTTGGGGCAGCCATATGGCTTCACTTGATGAGCGTGGCTAAGGAAGCGATGGGACTGGAGTGACCTGAGACCTGAGCCCTCTCAGGGCTTGTCAGACTGGTCGGGAAGAAGATATTCAAGGTGGCTAGGATTTCCTCATATTCCAACTTGTATTTCTTAGAAGTTCTTGAATTAGCCTCTCTTCCTATCTTAAGGGATCATGCCCTACTGCGGAACCCTGGGGGTGCCGTGGTTACGCGTTTGGATGCTAACCAAAAGGTGGGCAGTTCCAATCCCCCCAACGCTCCTTGGAAACCCTGTGGGGCAGTTCTCCTGTCCTATAGGGTTGCTATGAGTCGGAATCCACTGGAGGGCAGTAGGTTTGGTTTTTTTGTTTTTGCCCCACTGCAAGGAGCCCTGGTGGCGCAGTGGTTAAAGCTCTTGGCTGGTAACCAAAAGGTCGGTGGTTGGAACCCACCAGCCGCTGGAGAGAGAGATGTGGCAGTCTGCTTCCATAAAGATTTACAGCCTTGGATACCCTGTGGGGCACTTCTCCTCTGTCCTGTAGGGTGGCTATGAGTCGGAATGGATGGACTCCGCGGCAGTAGGATTGGTTCCTTTTGCCCAACTGCAGAGTCCCTGGGTGGCACAAATCGTTAAGTGCTTGGCTGCTAACTGAAAGGTTGGTAGTTGAAATCCACCTAGAGGCACCTCCGAAGAAAGGCCTGGTGGTCTATTTCCAAAGATCACAGCTCACGGCCTATTCTTGAGCCACTGAAAACCCTATGGAGCACAGTTCTACTCTGCAACACATGGGGTCGCCATGAGTCGGCATCAGCAACTGGTCTACTCTGCCCCGTTCCCTTTCTTACTTCTCTGGTAGTGCACTCTGGGTTTCCTTCTGCTGTGCCCCGAGAAGAAGGTAATGCCCCACAGCACATTCCAACTTCTACGATCTTTGGGAATTGGTAGTGAAGTGCTCTGCCACTCTGAGCTTAGGCACAGGTATTTTTAAACATCTGTGACATCCAGCTCCTTCCCTGAGGTATTTAACAGCTGGGGTGGGATTCCATGTCCATCTTCCCTACGTGACCCACTCAGTTCATCTCTCTCAAAGCACACACATGGCTAGACTTGGAGAAGCAAGCCAGGCAAGGCAGACTCCAAGTCCACCGCCATCTGAAACCCATCTGGGGAATGGCCAATCAGCCAGATCTGGGGGTAGGAAGACAAAGGAAAGGGTGTGGTTTCTGCTGGTGTTCATCTCACAGTGGACTTTGCTCCTCCCCCCAAGAGAATCGCCTTCCAGATGAATCATGCCGGGTTCTGGTTATAGCATTGTCTAGAGTAGCACATTCTTTGGCATGCTGGTGCCCGTACTTTTCTGGGGATTCAGGGGTAGAGTTTACAATTCTTAAGTGTAACGGCTCAATCCTCGTGTTCACCAACTCCACCTTCTCTGCAAAGGGCAGCATTCAGCCTTCTCTGTTGAACCTGCATCTGTCAGCAGCAGGACCCAGGTAGAAAGCATGCCTCACGCTCCTGTTAGCACCCTTCCATGGGGAAAGATGCCAGCCTCTCCTTCAACCTGTGCTCAAAGTCCATTCTTGGGACTTTTGCAGGGGGAGGGAAAGTGGGAGTGGTATATTACAGTCTTTGTTTAAATTCACCTGTTTCCTATCCAGTAGTGATTTTAGGTTCTTTCCTTTCGTTCTTTCTCTGTCCCCTTCAGTCTAAGCTGATGGGTTTTCTGCTGCGGTAGTCGGTTAGATCCATCAGTCGCAGGCTTAAACTCTTTAACAAAAGATTGTGTAGCCACGTCCTTGTTGGACATTCTAGGACATGTGTCCTTAGTTGGTACAGCAGAATTTTCCAAATCTTTAAGTTCTGTTTTCATTTTGCACAGTTCATTTTTAAGTCCATCTCTTTCCTCTCGCATTTTACTGTAAGTGGCAAGGAGAAACCACGTGGACTGTTTATTAAGATCTTGCTTAGAAGTCTCATTAGCCAGATATCCAAGTTCATCACTTATACATTCTACCTGCCACCAAACATTTGAACATGATTCAGACAAGTTCTTTGCCACTGCATAAAAAGTATTGCCCTTCCTTCACTGTCCAACCACGTTCTTCATTTTCTTTTAAAGCCTCACCAGAAGCACATTTAACGTCCACATTTCTAGCAACATTCTGTTGCTGCTGTCATATGTATTCTCTAAGATGACAGAGACTTTCTCTATAGCTTTTCTTACTTCTGAGCCCTCACCAGAATCACCTTTGATGTCCATGATTCTACCAACAGTCTTTTCAAGGCAATCTAGGTTTTTACTATTAGGCACCTTAAAACTCTTCCAGCCTCTACCCATTACTCAATTCCAAAACCACTTCCACATTTTAGGTGTCTGTTAGAGCAGCACCCTACTCTTCTGGTACCAAATTCTGTCTTAGTTATCTAGTGCTGCTATAACAGAAATACCACAAGTGGATGGCTTTAACAAACAGAAATTTATTCTCTCACGGTTTAGGAGGCTAGAAGTCCGAATTCAGGGTGCCGGCTCTAGGGGAAGGCTTTCTCTGTCAGCTCTGGAGGAAGGTCCTTGTGTCTTCTGAGCTTCTGCTCCTAGGTGATCTTCATGTGGCTTGGCACCTCTCTTCCCCCATCTCCCCTCTGCTTGCTTGTTTAGTCTCCTTTATATCTCAAAAGAGATTGACTCAAGATACACCTTACATTAATCCTGCCTCATTAACATAACAAAGACAACCCATTCCCAAATGGGATTATAGCCACAGGCTAGAGGTTAGGATTTACAACACGTATTTTGGTGGAACATAACTCAATCCATAACAGTGATGTTAGCCAAGGATATTCTATTCTCACCAAAGCATTCCTTCCAATTAAACAAAAATGCATTGAGCTCCTATTAAGTACCAGTCACTGGGTGTGAATGAGACATACTCCTCCAGATCATTATACCTGAATATGATGACCAGACAGGTTTCCTTTCTTATAAACCCTTCATGATGAAAAGCTCTTGCTCTCCCACCTCACCCCAGACTGTGAGAGCAGCTCTTCTGTTGAGGGCTGCAAAAAATATATTGGCCCCGAGGATTTAGGATTTACTGTTAGTTGTACCTTCTCAAGGGAATGAGATAATGGACTTTGGGTAACTTTTATTGGGATGGGACTAATGCATTTTACTGCGGGGGATGCAAATGTCTTTATCGCAATGAATGGCAAGTACAGAGCTTTAATAAAGAATACATACCTAGCAGACAAAGTCATTTGTAACCAGATTTCTAAACCCTAGGATCAGACTGACCAGGTTACTGAGTTAAGCTTTGCGGGTGAAGTTTTCACATTAACCACGCTTGACAGTGTAGGTGGTTGGTATTTAGCCACAGATGAGAACCCATTTATCAGCACCAAGAGAAATGATGAAATATCTGTTCTGTCAGAATGTGCTTTGTCACTTAAAAAGGGAGACACTGATCTTGCTTTTCCAAATGATTACCGTGTCTGTTCTTCATTAGGTGATTTATGAAGAATTGGCTGGCAGCGAGGTGAATCCCTCATTCAAAGCCCTAATACCTGAGGTGTCTATTTTCATTAGCAAGAGATCCCCAAAACTGGGGTGAATTGATTCTTAGATTTACAGCCAGAAAGGACCAAATGGGTCATCTAATCATCCTTCTTTCAAGTCGCATCGCAAGACTGGTGATACATGCAGCCTAAAAGTCAGCGTAAACCCTGTTTCTTTACATTCTTTAACAGGCTCCCACAGACCTCACCAAAATGCCGTCTCAAATGGAACATGCCATGGAAACAATGATGTTCACGTTCCACAGATTTGCTGGGGATAAAGGCTACTTGACCAAGGAGGACCTCAGAGTGCTGATGGAAAAGGAGTTCCCTGGATTTTTAGAAGTAAGTCCCGAAGGGCTCAGAAAAACCCAGGCAGAAAACTCAGTGCTTTTAGGCCCTGGTTCCATTCTCTCCCTCTTTCCTTCCCTTCCCTGTGTAGGTCACTACTAAAAAGGTATTTTCATTCATTTATTTATTAAACATAATTGAGTGCCTGCTATTGTTTGTAAGATCCTCTAAAGGGGATAAAAAAACTGAAGAAGACACAGTCCCTGCCCTCAAGGAGTTTACAGTCTGGAGTTGAAATACGACCACATACAAAGAACCATAATAGGAGGTGTTTGTTAGAGAAACTCCATCCAGAGTCATCTGTATCCATTGAGACAGCTGTTGCTGGAAGGAAGGCCTTTCTCAAGACAGCATCCACCCGGGGAGTGGCCCACCGAGGTCCATACGCCTGGAGTTAGAGATGCTGCATCCTGGTCACATTTCACTTCGAACAGCTTGAATCTCCCTTCTTAAATCCCTTCAGATCAAGGAATTTTTTTTTCCACCTTTTCCTAACTCTAATCTATAAAGGAACGGTGTCAAGGATCCACTGAAGGAGAACCAGGCTTCGCTCCAGAAATAACTGCTTGTCACACTGAAAATGCTGTGGGAACACAGGAGCAGAGTCTGAGCTGTGGCCTCAGCTTCATAGACAGAAGGATCCGTGAAGGCTAGTAGAAGACTCTGCCATCAGCTTAGATACATTGCTCAGGGCATTAGGCCACAGGGCACAGTTGTCGTTTTACATCGTAGACCCCTCGTAGAAGTTGACTGAAGGTAAAACGTTGCTTGACAAAATCTTAGATTGGAATTTAAGACCTCCTTTTCCTGCCACCGCTGTTATGGCTGCTTGGTGGTGAATATGCATTAGCCTAAGGGGTGAAGGGAATTGAAGGTAGAAGGCTGGGTCCTGCTTCTTGTCATCCGCTCAGTAAAGAGCGCATTAGTTAAGCCCCCGTCTCGTGTCAATAAATATGGGGCTTCATACAAAAAAAAAAACGAAACAAAACCAATAGCTGCCAAGTCAATTCCAGCTCATAGCGACACTATAGGACAGAGCAGAACTGCCCCATAGGGTTTTCAACGAGACGCTGGTGGATTCGAACTGCCCACCTTTTGGTTAGAAGCCCAGCTCTTAACCACTGCGTCACCAGGGCTTCATGGGGCTTTGTAGTGCACTATGATTTATGTCTCATTAATACCAGTTAAATAAACAGATAAAACTAGCCTAACTCAGAGCTGCAGCCAGCACAATGCTATCTCAAAATGAGTTAGATTATAGTTACTCTGTGTTTCTAGAGTCCTGTGATTTAGCCCCAGAATCCCTAGGTGGTGTAAATGAGTAAGGTGCTCGGCTGCTAATGGAAAGGCTGGCAGTTCGAATCCACCCAGAGGTGACTTGGAAGAATGGCCTGGCAGTCTACTTTCAAAAAATCAGCCGTTAAAAACCCTGTGGAGCACAGTTCTACTCTAACACGCATGGGGTCGCCGTGAGTCAGAGTCAACTCGACAGCAACTGCTTTTTTATGATACAGCCCCCGACCAGGGGTTAGAAGATCCAACTCTGCCCTAACTGATATTAGGCAGATTGCTTCAGGTCTCTGGGCCTTAGTTCCTTCCCCTGTGAAGTGAGAAGGCAGGGCATGATTATCTCCAAGGTTACATTCACTTTCTATGTTTCTTCAAGGCCAAGTGTAAAATGCAAGGACAGAATGTGTTCATTGTAAGCCTGCCCGTTACACGAACAAAGGCCTTCTCGATACACAAAACACTCGGAATCATGTTGCCATATAAGTTAGAAACCAGGATGACTATCATGTAAGACACAGACCTTTCCTCCCTGCAGACTTTGTAGCATGGGAAACATAAGGACGTGCATAGCAGGAAGTACCCTAGGGAGCAGGGTAGTTTACTGTAGGTGTGGGGTCGTAATTCCAGCCACACCTACACTCACCGCACTGACGGAACATTTTGTTTCTAAAACTGACGCCTTGTGTCATCCAAATTTTACTCGTTCTGACCACAGCCAGGAAGCTGAAGGTGAGGCCAGAATTAACGGAAACCTGCCAAAAGCAGAGCTAGCTGCAGAGAGCAGGTTTAATTGATTCCTTAGGGTAGCCGATTTGCAGTCCTTTTGTAGGAAATGCTGCTGCTTTTTCTTTCGGGACTTCTGAGTGCAATTTATAAACATCCAGTACATCTGAGACACTGTCAGTCCCTCACTTAGTGACACTGTTACTAGAGTTCATAAGTTCTTTATCTGAGCTACGTAACAACCCTGGCTGGCCATACCGCCCTCTCCAGTTGATAACATGGACCCACAGGAGAACCCGCACTTCTCCACATTTGACCAACAGCACCGTGGAAAGGAGTGATCAAGCCAGTCACCATGGAAACACGATGAAAACAAAGGGGATCTTACCTGCCCGTCTCAGACCCCCACACTTATACAAGGCATCGGGAGTCTTGAGAATGTGACTGTGTCACACATACTCATTTTGAAACCCGTCCAGTGTACAGTGTGCAGCCAAGAGTATAAGAGGGCATAGATGTATCAACTCATTAAAAAAAGGATCTGAGCAATACCCTAGTCCAACCTTCTCAATTCATATTTGATACACTAGGGCCCACTAACCTGTGTGACATACACAAGGTCACACAGTTCACACTCGCTTGGCCTCCGCTGTGCTAAGGACAAATGAGAGCTGTCTCTCCATCCTCTTCAAACCTGAAAACACCCCGTGACATCTTCAGCATCTCCGTCAAGTCCATGGGACAATGATCTGAAACTTACTTCCTAAATAATCTTATGAAAATTTTCTTAAAGGAGTTTCCCCATTTCAAGGATTTCACCATGCTATCAGGAATAAAGTTTACTAAGAGAATGTTAAGTAAACTACAAAATGGAGGATTTAGGATGGTTCTTAGGCAGAACTTGTGATTTTAAAAATGGTGGAAACAGTTAAACTGTAAACAGTGGAACTGGCCAGTCACAAGGCCACGTTGGGTTCTAAGTGTCAAGAGCCATGGATTAAACACGAGAAGACCTGCATCTAGGTTCTGTGGCACTGAATCTCCTCTTCCTAACGTACTAACATTTCTAAGGTTCCTACAGTTATATGAAAGACTGTCATAGGAACCTCCTTCCTAGCTTCAAACAAATAGGACTTTACTGACATGCTCCCACAAGACACAGAAATAATTCAGATGGCCTAAAACAGGAGTTCACCTAACTGGGAGACTGACACATGGTTGTTAGCAGTGCAGATCAGATAAGCTGGTCATTGCAACCACTGACTGATAGTTCTTACCTTTGTTCTTTTTTTCTTCCCCCAGAACCAAAAAGACCCTCTGGCCGTGGACAAAATAATGAAGGACCTGGACCAGTGCCGAGATGGCAAAGTGGGCTTCCAGAGCTTCTTTTCGCTAATCGCCGGGCTTACCATCGCGTGCAATGACTACTTCGTGGCACACATGAAGCAGAAAGGGAAGAAGTAGAAGTGGGCAGAGTGAAGGAGCCACTCCCACCCTGACAAGTTACCCCAAAGATGCTTACAGAATCTGCCCCACAGTGTCCCCCTGTATAAGGATTTCACGAGCAGATTGGGGCCCTTTAAAATACATACAAAGAAAATCCAGCTCCCATGCCACCAGTAGAGAAAGGAAAGTCAGCTACATGCCAGATAAGCTTTTGATTTCTATGTTGTTTGCATCCTCCTGCCCTCAATAAACAAATGCCTTTTTTAATAGCTAATCTAAGAGAGAACGTCTGTTCCTTCTGCAGGAATGTTTGTTCCCTTCTCCATTTCACCCAGAGCCAGCAGTCCCTTGGCCACAGCCCACTGCAGGACTGTCTCAAGAACCAGCAAAATGGAGACACTCTCAATTCAGACTTGAGGTCAAACTTCTCTAATTGATCCAACTTTGTAGCTGTTTCCGTAAAAAAAAAAAAATTGCCATCGAGTTGACTCCAACTGATGGTAACCCCATGTGTGTCAGGGTAGAATTGTGCTCCGTAGGGTTTTCAGTCACAGCTTTTTGGGAAGTAGATCACCAGGCCTTTCTTCTGAGGTGCCTTTGTGTGGACTGGAACCTCCAACCTTTCGGTTAGCAGCCCACCACTTTAAGGTTCAGGAATATATTCTAATTTCATAATTGCTGAGCACTGTCTTGCCTAGTTAAATCACTGCCTTTTCAACTTTCCATACCTACAATGTCCGAGTCTGTTTTTCATAGCTTTTAGCAAAGCTAGGGCGAAAATAAAGCCATTAAGAGAGCTAATCAAAAAGAGGAGACAGCCTCTAGTGGGACATCTCAGTAATAATAGCACATCAACATTTATTAAGTTAACCGGGGTAGGGGAGAGAAAATATCAAGTCATCTTCACAGTGCACACGTAGATTTGTAAAGATTCTGAAGCAATGCGTTATTCCCTGCAGATTACTCTGACCCTCTGACATTCAGAAAGGGGAGTCGTCCGGGTTGCTGTATCTGGGGTGTGTGTGTGTGTGTTGTGGGGGGGACACTTTCCTCACTTTAAAACCACTTCTCAAAGCAGTTAGAGAGCTCGCACAAGGAAAATAGAAATGGCGCTTAGGGTACGAAATCCTCCATGGCTCTCCCTGCCAACAAAAAACACAGATCTCACAATCTGACCTGCTGAAACAGCCGGCTAGGCTTCAGGGGCTGCAGCCTAATGGCTCCCAGAGGGCAAAGCTGCAGTGTTGCCAGCGGCCAGCCATTAGGAGGAACCATCTGGAAAATTCCACTGATTGTGCTCCGTGTCTGAGTTGTAAAATCAGATCCCGCCCCCTCCACACCCAGTGATGAAGGAAGAATGGAGAGCTGTGTAGAAAGTCATTCTGAACATGCCGCAGAAGTGACCCTGAAGAAACACCTCATTTTCTCTCTTGGGCCATTCCCTGTCCAAGCCCCTGAACATCAGTCAACTACCTGTAATTCTCTTCTACCCACCCCATCTCCCTGGGAAACCAAAGGCGAGTCCTTAAACCTCTCTCTCAATTTAACCAACTTAAAAGTGACTACTGAAATACCTTCCCCAACCCTCAACCCCAGAGGAATAGTTGTGAAGAGAAATTCATTCATTTGGCAAATTTTAGTGAAGGCTATTATGTGAATGGAAACCCTGGTGGCACAGTAGTTAAGAGCTTGGCTGCTAACCAAAAGGTCGGCAGTTGGAATCCACCAGGTGCTCCTTGGAAACACTATGGGGCAATTCCATTCTGTCCTATACGGTTGCTATGAGTCGGAATCCACTCAACAGCAACGCATCTGGATTTTTGATTTGGATTATGCGAATGGCACCAAGCAAAATTCTGTGACAAGTAAGAAGCATTTGTCCACAACGCCTGCTCAAGGCGGTTACAATCTAGGTTGGAAGATAATAGATAAAGCTGATAAAATGTTAAATAACACCAGCAGAGCACTGGCAAGGGAGAAACGTTGGCACCCTCAGTTGCTGTTGATAGGGATGTAACTTATACACCCTTTGGGGGAGGCAATACGTACCAAGATCCTTTAATACGTCTTCTTTGACCCAGTCTTTCTATTCCTAGGAATTATCTTTAAAAAGCAATCAAAGATAAAAGGTTCATATACAAAGATATGTGATGCAATATTATTTAGAATAGCTAAAACCTGGGGGCGGGGGCCCTCAATGTCCAACAATAGAGTATGGTGACATAAGTTATGTATAAATATACATGGGATACTAGGGGGCTCATGGAAACCATGACTTTGAAGAATATTACATGAAGTGGGGAAATGTCTATATAAAATAAAGCAAAATTGGTGGACAATGGGATTCCTTTCTTTTTTAAATATGTGTGTCTGCTCGCACACACACAAAGTAAAAAGACTAAAGGAAATACACTCAGTTCTGTTTCAGTTTTCAGGGTAGGAGTTACTAGCTAGAGAAATTGAGGTCTCAAGGTATGAGCTTACGGGATTATTTTAACTTTCTCTTCTGTACAGTGCTATGTTATCTAAAGTTTCTACAACAATTTCTATTTTTACAATCCAGAAATCAGAACTCTAAATATCTTTTAACAGTGCATGTGTATTTACTGAGGGTCTACCATGAGTCAGGAAGAAAGACCTAGTAATCTGCTTCTGAAAATCAGCTAGTGAAAACCCCATGAATCATAACGGTCCCATCTTCAGCTGATCATGCGGATGGCAAAGGACTAGGCAGCATTTTGTTCCGTTGGGCACGGGATCGCCATGAGTCAGGGGCCAACTTGACTGCAGCTGAGAACAACATGAGACACTTCTTAAGCATTATCTTATTTAGTCCTCGTGATAACCCTGCTAATCCCACTGCCATCGAGTGGATTCCGACTCACTGCAACCCTAGAGGACAGAAGAGAACTGCCCCATGGGGTTTCCAAGGAGTGACTGGTGGATTCAGATTGCCAACTTTTTGGTTAGTGGCGGAGCTCTTAACCACTGTGCCATCTGGGCTCCAATAACCCTGCTAGGGTATTATAATATCCATTTTACGGATGACAAAACTGAGACTCAGGTAACTCACTCAAAGTCACACGGTAAATGACAGTGTCAAGATTTGAACCCAGATATTCTCTTTCTTTCCAATATCCTGCAGCTGGTCACTGGGTGCTACTGGAGTAAATCAAGTATCAAATAACCACGTGTTATACTTTCAAAAGAGGAAGAGATCATTGTGGGCTGGGTAAGACTAGTCAGAGAAGATTTTACCTAAGAGGTAGGACATTATTTGGTGTTTGAAGACTAGGAGAAGTTTGGCTAAAGGTTAATATTTACTGAGTTCTTATGATGCTCCAGGTTCTGTTCTAGTGCCCCCAGTTTATCCTCATCAGTCACCATTGCCATGTTCTATAAAGTCACGGTGAACACTGAATTAGCTAATACTAAACCACTGCTCCCAGGAGAAATACGGGTTAGGTTCTCGTGAGCCTCTGGTCACAACATTTTCATCGACTGATCAATACATAATCTTGTCTTATGTGGGTTTCTGTTTAAAGACACTTAGGTAACAGATATTGTTGATTCACTGACATGGAACTCACCGCCAGCAGCACTACGACTCACGCCTGAACAAAGTCGATCTGACAGAAGCATTCTGCCCGTAAGGCATGTCACAACCTTCTCGCACTTAGGAACACTAGACGGCACCTTGGCACCACCCTTGGGGGCTGTTTTCAGTTACGAAATCACCAACGAAAAGCACACAGTGTGAAAAACGTGGCACTAAACAGATCTTGAGAAGAAAGCATTTTCACAGTATAAGAGCTGAAACATCACCTTGTTGAACCTTTTTCCATGTTGGGAACCTGTGCATCAGGCAACTCAAATTGTTCGTCCCTTTGAACGCGTCTGCGAGTGACCGCAAAAATGTTTTAAGTATTGATGTTAGGGTTACACATAAACTTTAGACAGTAGGTGAATTCACAAATACAGAATCCATGAATGATGAGGATCACCTGTAGATGGTACTACTATTCCCACTTTAGGGGTGCTTTGACCAAGGTACAGAACTAACAGGGGGTGGAGCCAGGATTTGAACCCAGACTATCTGAGATTTTGACGACTCTTCTCTGCTGCATCCCTGGACATGGTAAAACCAACAAAACCCAAACCCATTGTCGTCGAGTCAATTCCGACTCATAGCAACCCTACAGGACAGAGTAAAACTGCCCCATAGGATTTCCAAGGAGCAGTTGGTGGATTTGAACTGCCGACCTTTTGGTTAGCAGCCGTGCTCTTAACCACTGCGCCACCAGGGCTCCCTGGTTATGGTAATGATGGAGCAAAGGGACAGAGGCAGGAATGCCTAGGACACGGAGTAGACCGGCGTGGCTAAAGGGAGCATGTTCACACAAGAAAGTACCTGTAGGTGGGATAGGAAAGGTAGGAGGCGATAAATGAGATCGTATTTGAGGTCATTCGATTAAAAAGTCAACAACTCCAAGGTTTGGGTTATTACTCCTCCTCTGGGAAACAGAGAGGACTCTCCTGTCTAAAGGGAAACAATCAAACAGTACATATGTTCTTGTGAATATTCAACCCACTCCCCCCGCCCCCCAATCACATTCCAATCACATTCCAGCTACAAAAGATAAAGCAGGGTGTGGATTCACGGCTATCTTTCTGAGACGTGACAGAACAGAGGAGGAAGAAGCATATTGATCCCTGGCAAGTCAGGCCAAAGGCAAGAGAGGGACAAAATCAAAATGATAGGACCCCAGGGTGTGGGTGAGAAAGACCCCTCCACAGAACGCGAAGGCATCTGGTTTACCAGGTTTCAACGTATCGGCAAAATGGCATGTTCACTCTGACTGCAACTACAGTATATTTTTCAACTGCACGAAAGTGGGCAAAGTCTGGAAGGGATTATGTAGAAGTGAAAATGGTCACATTATTAAAATCTTCTTTAGTATATGACATCATCCTTGACCAAAGGGAGAAAAATGAAATTTCAACTAGCTCTCTGGATGCAGAACTTACACAGCTCAATTTAAAAATTCTATTTGTCATGTTTCCCAAAGCAGCTAATCAACGAGCAGCTCCCGCATTGCCGGCGCCACCAACCTGTTCAAGGCCCATCCATTAAGAGCCTGACAAGCACCAGTGGCATTTAGCCTCAAGCCTGTTTTTCTGGAAGGAGTGGGGAGATGATTCAGCTTTGGGCTCTGCAGGATGACTTGTTCTCTCTACCCCATTCCAGGATGCCAGGGTGAGTCAGCACACAGAGCCAGGGATCTTGGCCTTCTTACAAATACTGATATTTCCACTTAACGATGCAATTTAAAGCACCCTAGGAAGTAGCAGGTGACACAGAAAATGACGTTATGGGCCAGTGTTGTCCCTGTAC